AACCTAGTAGGGGACTACATGTCCTATTTTTCTTCCACCTGTACAATGTACAAATCTTTGGAAACGAAACGAAACGAAACGAAAATCAAACTGTGATAAAATTTGAGAAAGACACTAGACATTGCTTATACCTTTTCAATATAAAAAACAACATTTAACTTGTTGAAGTACACAACAAGAGAACAACATATTGTGTACAATAAAATATCTGAATTGTCACTAAGCAAGAATCACAATAGAAAAACTAAACTACAGCATTTTTATCCCCAACTGCCACATAGCATACAACGAACACATTGTATTCATTATGCTTCAGCTAACAATGGCTGACTATTTGAATTCCCCAAATACAGTTATAAGTTAGCCAGACAGAAAAAAAGATTTCTTGTTTTAGAGGAAGCTCAGACCCCACCCAATAAATTCGAGACCTTTCCTCACGGAAATTACGTCCTGCTTGGTGAAAATATAAATGACGTTTATTCATATCATTTATGACGTAAAACATATACTCATCTCAGAAGGTGATATAAGGTCCCTTTGTGTTTCCCACACCAGAATTTACATCAACACAATATAAACCCAAGAAAAGGATCGAATTTTGTAATTCAAAGATACAAATACAGATTACGTTATTCACTTCACAGTGACAATGCACTTTTATAAACAAGTCATAAAATCATTGAATGCTTAGAATTCGAGAGTAAGTTGCGAAAATTTGCCAAACTGTAACATGAAACACGCTCAGAACTTTAAAATTTAATACTGAATAACAGGCGATATATATCTGATTAAAGAATGAAAAAATCTGGAAAAAAATTGCGCTCCTGTTCAGAATCTAGAGGAGGTTTTCAATAAACGCAAGCTAATGATTGTTGTCTCTTAAAACAGTACGTACATAGCCATGTTGTTAGCTAGGTGTCAGCACCTATTTCGAACGAATAATAGTGAAATTATACTGGCACTGATCGAGTCGCGCTTAAAATACCATTCCACCAGTGTAAACAATTTTAGTCAATGCTCTATCGTGAAACAAAAAGTGTCAGGTTTTAAAATATGTTGTTGATCAATTTGACTGAAAAATCTGTAGAAGGAAATGATGTTTTGGTAAGATGTGGGTTAATTGCTAAGATAGCAAAGTCATCGACTTCCTACACGAAAATATGACAATTTGCTGCGCTCTCTTAAAGCAGAAGACTAGAAACCGTCTTCAGTGACCAAGCTAATATGGTAGTTAAACCCTAAATTTTCACAATTTTCTCACCTTCACAAATCAGTCCTTGGTTCGTAAAACCCCAAAGCATGTCCGTGCAATGATTGCAATATGTCGGACGAGTGAAAGTTTTTCGGACAAATCGATGTCCACTTTGCCCATGAGCAGAGAAGGCTTCATCGACTCTGGTGTCAGAAAGACATCGAGGCATAGAATGTCTGAGATCGCCATTTTCTTGCGCTGGAAGAGACAATTTGTTGGCAGTCATGTTTTGTCGATGGAAGGTTTCATGATAAACAAACTCGAAAGTTCCTCTTACACTAGCTAACGCGGAGAACTGGAGCCCAGTTTCATAAGGATAGAGTGGTTTTAATGGGACTGGGAATAGTATTGTTGAGGAAATGTTCCTCAAAGGGGTCCAGAATTTTTTCCTTTATCCCAAGCTCGCAACAAAACAACAACAATAACAAAAAAACACCTTTTATCGTTCTATAACCAAGCAAAAAAATTACTATTTATCCTATTCTAATTTCATGCAGTTTCCTTCAGACTCCAAAGGAAATTTTTTCGCGTCAATATAATATGCGTTATTCGGCGAGGGACGGTTGTTTTTCTGAAGATTTATTTCAGAAAACCAACTCAATTTACAGCTTTAAATGTGAAATACTAACAAGAGAATAACAAACACTACCTCTGGAAGGGCAAGGAGGATTGTGCGAAAGTTAAAATCATGTGAAAAAAACAACGTGAAAGAGTCAATATATCTATTGGCCCTTTTAAACAAAAGTGAGGTCACTCGGCAAGAAAATACGGCCAGATATTGTTCAAGTTTTACTAGTATGACAATGTATCATCATTATTCATTATGTTACATGTATCATCATTACTTATCCATTCATTTTCTTTTTTTTTCTGGACCAAGATAAAGACAAGCGCAAAAACACAGTCAGGCGAACGAATGAGATTCTACAATTCATAATCTTTAGTGTAAGTCTAAACTTGGTTGAACATTAAAACCAAAAAAAAATTTTTTTGAGCCTACGGAAAGGTTTTTTTTTTTAAGAAAAACCTTCCATTTTTGAAGTTGCTCGCTATTTTACTGGTGTTTGTTCAATTTTTTAAGCCAACAGGGGATCTGTGCCTCAAGTTAACCAGCGGCTCCTAATGTCCATGGCAGGTGCAGTCTAAATTGCACGGTCTGCTAAGCTAAAAGTTTTAAAAACTTTTGTACAAAGTGCAAAATCAACTGAAAAGGGCATGATCTCATGCATCAGTTTTAAAAACAGGAATTTTTGCATATCCTAGTCGATGAGGCTGAAGTTAAAAGTCTCTTCAATGTTTATGGATCTTCCGCAAGTATGGAATCCCGCGTCATTTTAGCGTCTCTCCGCTATAATAGCTATAATTGAAAAGATAAGAAAATTACTGGCGAAGTATAAGCATGTAACTATAAAAAATAACACATGGAAAGGCAGCTCATTCGCAAGTTTTTTTTTTTGTTTGTTTGTTTTGTTTGTTTGTTTTGTTTTGTTTTTGTTTTCAACCGTCTTCAAAGCCAACTGCCCTTTGTTTTAGTTTAGGTCTAAAACTTCAAATATTTATGACATCATTGTAATAGCAAAAATAAGATAAAAAAATAACTGTTAGTGTCGTTACTTATCGCCAGAGGGGAAGGGAGGGAGCAAGAATTTTGGTTGTGCCACAATAAAATTAACCTGATTCCCCCATAAGGCTCCGTGGTATTCTAATCATCTCACGTCATTTTCTACAGTACCCCTTTAGACTAGGGAGTTTAAGCAAATCACTACGGCTGGCGCTGCTACGGCTACCGGAAGTAAAATTGTCCAGAAACGAGTCATTGCGCATGTCAGTGGTTCCCATCCAGCCGTAGCGGGAAATCCTTCTACGCGAGTGGGAAGGTTTCGGCGTAGTCTGTTTTACGTGAACTTATCTTGCTTCTTTCTTCGCTTTATACATTCTCCTGAGCAACTTTAACTATTGAAATACACTTAACATCTTTAAAAATAGGTTATCGGGAATATTTATCAAGCTTGCTGTCCCTTACCGACTGAATCTGCCTTTATTTTTGCAGCCGGGTTTGTCGAAGGATCGAAGCAGTGTGCACATGGAGAACGCAGCGAACGCCAGGAGAAATACATAAGTAGAAAGTCTAACTTTTCCTTTTCAAACCTTAAAGACTACTTGAAATTCAAATAGCTGAAGCCGAGGAATGACGAGGGTTATGAAGGACCGTGTAGAAACGTTGCTTTGGTGTTTATAAGCTCCAAACTGGCAATTTTACAACACGTAAGATTNAATATTTTAATTCACTCATTCACTGTGCACAGGATCACTTACAATTTTTTTTTCCAAACGTCGGAATCCCTCGTCTCTTTGAATGAAGTCATTTTGAGTTTTTAGACGTGCAAAAACTACCGCGAGGACGCTTATTGGTTTTAAACTTCACAGCCGTACTAGGTTTTTAGTTCGCGTTGCTTAAAGTTGAATTTTGGCGGGCTACGGCGACGTACTCTCCTCAAGCCTCGTCAACCATGGTAGCCGTAGCAGCGCCAGCCGTAGTGATTTGCTTAAACTCCCTAGTGTTAGAGCTCGAGACGACTAGTACGTCCACAGGGTGCCCACACAAGCGGCGTGTCTGGTTGTTGTTCGAAATATAAACAGATGTGTGGGAGAATATTGAAGAGTCGTAATATCGTAAACTTATATCAAGGAATGTCTATATTAAGGCTCAAAATAAATGTAAACGTACTTTACTTGCTGTGTATTGTCGTTTCTGTGGTTCTTAATGGTGCATTTCGAGCGATTTGGTAGATTTCGCGTTCAGTGTTACTTTACTGTACAGGGAGACAAGGGTGGAAAGCTCATTTTCGACCGCGCCAGCGCGCACCTGATTTTCATCCAGAAATTAGAATCACGCGGCTTCCAAATCGAACACCAGATAAACTAAAAGGTTGACGCTTCTTCACGTGTCATTCAATCGAAGATCCATTAAAAATCCAAGCGCTAACTGCCAAAAAACTTTCGAGAAATGTAGCTTTCCAAGCGATCGGCATCCGCGGCACAGACATCGTGTGCCAGGGAGCAACCGTCACGCTGTTTGCTCCACGCCGAATGGATGATGGTAAACAATACCCTATTTCAAATGCCTCATGTGAGAGGGGAGTCAGGGGCGTATTCACGCCGGCGATTCATCTACTGACTAGCCTGGTGTGAGGTTTATGGCGCGTGACGGAAACCCTACACGACCTCAAACCTCTTTGTTCGCGTAACCCACAGACATTCCTTGATATAAGTTTACGATATTACGACTCTTGAATATTCTCCCACACATCCCTTTATATTTCGAACAAACGACCAGACACGCCGCTTGTGTGGGCGCCCTGTGGTACGTCTCCACTTCGTTCCCCTTGAAAACAATATGGTCCTCCCCCCCAAAAAATCCTTTAACCCCAGTCCCCCTCCTCCTTCGGTGATAAATAAACAATATTTCGGTCGCTGATAATTTGCGTCTATAAGAGTGAAACGTTTCATTGAATTACTATTTTCATTTTTTATTTATTTATTCATGTAATTTTTTTCGGGGAGAGGGGGTGCGGAATTACAGCTTATCCGTGAGATGCAACCGTTTTGTTATTTTCCTTTCTTTATCTAAGGATGGATTGTCAATTAACTGAACTTCATTTATAATCCCAAAATTAAAAGCAAAGTAAACATTTTCTCGATTGGAAAAGAGGTTCAGAACTGGCGAATTCAAATTGTTTGAATAGAAACAAGAGAC